TATTATATATGTGTTGGGGTAGTAAGGGTGTCACAGTTGTTTGGTCATCAATTGACTTAATAAAATATTGCCAACTTTTGGAGATAAATGATGTTTTGGAGGAAAATCTTCTAGCCTGTTTCAATGCATTAGGTGATACTTTACTTGAGAAAATGTTAAGGCTTTTATCTGTAGCAAAGAGCAAATAAGCAAGCCTTATCTGAAGTCGAAACTCATTCCAGTTGTATTTGTCTTCCATTGCAGCAGTTGGATCATGCAAAATAGGAGTACGATACTCAAAATTAACAACTTGGCTAATAGGCTTATGGCCATCGAAGCTCAAATAGAGATTCACCAATCCAGGAGAATGTGGTGATACCCAGCACCGGTAAACTCTAATTTGAACAATTTCTACAGGAACACTTACATCACCACAGACAGACAGTAGGTTGGACTTTGCAAGGTGTTGATAGTTATTATGAAAATATCCAGTCACCAAGATCTGCAAGAAGTCAAGAGACATGAAATGTTTACTTATTATTGCCAAAAAAAAAATGATAAGAAATGTAGGAATTGGTCATGTTTGTAGCCAGAGTGCTAGTGGTGCCTACTAAAAATGCATTCTTTTACATTGAAAAAGAATTGACAGCAAGTACTCCTCATGGAGTTTTAGGTTTTGTAGTTTATAGCTTTGAAATTCCACAACCATATTATATTGTCTAAATGCTGCATGAAAATGCTGAGCAATCAACTAAGAAACCAAATATTACAGTTGGTGATAAAGGGTACAATCATAACAAAAAATAACTAGATATTAGACATCAGAGAGAAGCAAAAGGAAACCTTTGTTTTCTCTGTGGAAGATGCCCATGCAGGGGACACCTCAGTGAGATTAAATACTTGTTCTGGCAGAGAATGTTGTTGATTATCAGCCTCCAGTGACAAATATGGTTCATGAACAGATGAAGAAATTGGTGCTTCGAGAGCTGACTCATCTATAGAACATGGTGTATCTGGTATGATGTTCATCCACATTCCAAAGCTGTCCTGACTTTGCAAACCTTCATTGACCAAAGTGCCCAAGGTATTGATACCAACAGGAGATATAGAACTATCTTTCAGAACATTACCACTTTCTAGGAAACTGTAAGTAACACTATTGCTCCCAGAAACCTGCTGAAGTATTACTGGATACCTGGTAACAAAAGCCCTATATAGGTTACAACAATAGCTATCATAAAGCAAGCAATACAATGTATCCAACTTATGTTTAGAAAATAATTTTCAAGTGAAAAGTAGGAAAGCAGAAAGAGAGGTATGTCAATTAAAAAGAATGGTAGGAGAAAATGAAAACCTGCCACTGGTTCTTTATGTTCTCATATTCTGACTTCTTGACCGACTTCAGGTATTCTCTGTCAGCATATGTCGATTCATATGAATAATATCCCAAAAGCAAACCCCAAACCTATCATTTATATATCAGCTTTATCAGATGAAGAACATGTTTCAATTCATAATCAAAATGCTTATAGTCTAAAGCTCATCGCATATGCAATACACAAACCTCATTTCGTAATTCATGGTTAATTCCACCATAAAATACTCTCTTTCTCAAAGTATTTCATCCAAAATACCTGTAGAGGCATCCAAATGCTAAATTATCGTGATTGTTGGAAACGTTGGCCTTCAAATTCGTCCAAACTTAAATGTGTGACTTCTTCAAATCGAAATCGTCGAATCTGCAAAATATTTGGACTTTTTTTTTATTTGATTATGTAAAATATTATTTAAACTTAGCCACCCAATTATATTCGATCACTAAATAAAAATTTTAAAAAATAATATAAATTGATTAAAAATAATTATAATATTATTAATGAGTATAAATTTTTTTTTTTAAGAATAAGACATTAATTTATAATAAAAAAAATTATATGCACTCCTATATAATTAATTAATATCAATAACTATTTTGCGCAAAAAAAATTAGATTTTTCTTTTTTATTGTTCAATTTTTAGACTTTTTTTTATTAGAGTATATGAATTTTTTTAAAAAATTTCTTATTTATTTCAATCCATATTTATAATATATATTTCTAAATTAATTTAATATTTTTTAAATAAATTATCAAAAATTATAATTAAGTTTGTGTCGTAATTTAGTTTTTGATACTTTGTTTTGTTAATTAAAATTGATGGATAATTATTAAATTATTTTATACATTAATTTTAATTAATAAAATAAAACATCAAATAGTTTTTAAATTTTTAAAAATTATGCATATTGAATCTGTATATTAAGAATCTTTAATTCAACGATATGATTAGATCGTTGAAATTTGATATATAATGAATTATTAAAAAATTTATTCTATAACTATTTATATTTTGTTGTTAAAATAGGTCATTTCAACATCTAAATCATCATAAGTTTTATGGATATGATTTTTTAATTTAAATAATTATTATTTTAGGATTAAGGTAAGTTTTAGGATAAAAACTAGTTTTATATTTAAAGTTTTTTACTATTCACTCACAACACATAAGTATGAAGATTCTAATAATTTTTTTTTACTATAACACAGAGTCTTCCACCAAATAAACAATCTTGTTTATAATAATATTGATATGATTAAGGCACTGCATGTTTCTATATTTTATTTGAAAAAATTTTAAAAAAAATTGAGATTAATAAATAAAGGTTATTAATTGATATATAAAAATAATAGAGTAGGTAGTTATTAAACAATAGAGTGGATAGTTATTAAAAAAATGATAGTTATTAAAAATAATTATTTTTTATTTTTTTAATAATAAAATAATATAATAGTGTACCAAGGAAACCAAAAATAGTTACTAAAAGAAATGTCTCTTTTACCTTAATTTTTTAACTTATTTTATTGACAATAACTTTTTTTATATATATAACAAAATATGTTGTGTGATGTTTTAACCTCTTAACTTTTTTTTCCCTTTTTTTGTTAGTTAACTATAGCTTATTGCATTTAAATTAATCAACTGACTCAATGATAAGCATAAAATATTATTTTACTAATAATTAAGGGTAGGTATATGGGCTAGTCCGGCTCATTTAAGGCCCAACCCACAAAGTCCACATTTTTAATAGATCAGAGATAAGTCTGCCCCATAAAATAAGTGATTTTTTTTAAAAGACCTATATTCGTCCCATGAAGCCCGTGGTTAAACGGGTATAGTTGAGAATGACTTAAATGAATTAATTTGTACTACCTATACTAACAACATGCATCTGCTTTTCAGTAGCTTATCTCATCAGAACTCCACAATTAAGTGTACTTAACTTTGAGTAATATAAGGATGGGTGACTGATTTAGCGACCAATTTAGAGTAAACTAAAAAATCATTTTTTGTTTTATTTAAAAATAAAAACATACTTAGCAACCGATTTAACAATGTATTATTCGGTCACCAATTTAGTCCTCATACACAACAGTGACCAAAACCATTGCAACCATTTTGCGACCGAAATTTTCGGTCGCTAAACAGCGACCAATGATATTTCCGTCGCTATATACCTTTATGAGGGTTTTTGCTATACTTAAATTTGGTCGATAAGGTAAATAGCGACCGTCTTTGCCAATTTATCGACCAATTTTAGTGGTTGCTAAATGCCATATTTTTTTGTAGTGCCTAACCCTAATCCTATGTTAGTACTAAAAGAGAAACTTTAAACTAAAAGTGCTAAAAAAATAATTTTATTAAAAATATTTTCACAATAAATAATATATATGGACATTTTAGTCTACCCAAAGCACATAATAATTTTTTTTTATATAACTAAAACTGTAATAATAAATATTTGTTTACTATATACTATACTATAATTAAAATTTGCAATAAATAAATAGTTTTGACACAATAAATTATATCTTTAAAATATAATAAATAGTTTATATTGTGATACAAAATTTTAACTATTGATATATTTTTTGAAAAAATATTGAAATAAATATCAAAATGTTATATATATTATTTCAATACTCAGTTCATCAATAATAAATCATTTATTTGATATAAAAAATCAAGACACACTTGCAATAGAAGAGTGAGGTCAACCCCTTCATTATAGGAAAATGATATTCAAATGAGAATAATAATAGTTCGGAACATAAAATTAAGTATTAATTATGTCATATTAACGTGTGTGTAAATTTTGTGAATTTAAAATACAACTTATATATTCAAAGAAAATTATTTATTATAAATTTTAGTCATAGTATAATTTATTTATAAAAAAATATTTCTTTACTATAATTTTAATTATGTATAAAATAAAAACTTATTTTTATAATACACAAACTAAAATATTACTAATTATTATAATAGTATTAAAATACAACACAAACTTTTATATTTATGCAATATACTAATTAAAATATTTTTTACTCGAATATTCAAACGCAAGACAAGTTTTTAACTCAAATACTCTGTTATTAATTAAGCACATTAAAACTTACACTCCCAATGAAACGTATGTGGATCACCTTACACTAGTACTTTTCATGAGCATTTAAAAGTTACTAATTGTAATTAATTTAATATTTAAAAGTAATTTGATTAATGAACTTACTAGTTTTAATTTTCAATTCTGTTCGATAATTTGATTCAATACATTTTAATTCTTTCAAGTTTAAACGTGCTTACAATTCTCAAATATATTGTCAGCAAAGTTAACACATGCAAAAATTAAATAAGACTAAATGGAGAAAAATTAAGACCAATAATATTCCAATACATATACGAAGTTCTGTGCATAAAAATAAGTTAGTTATTATATCAGCATTCAAAGTTATTAATTACTTTATTTATAAAACTTTTTGAAATTAAAGAATTTAAAGAATGAAAATATAAAGATTGAGCCGTATCTTCTTGTTTATTCTCTTGATTTGTCTTCAAATAGCTATAAGAAATTCATCTCCTATTACCCTTTATATACGAAGAAGACTCTTTGTTTTCACTTTCAACCATCACAGCATTTTACTTTCTTTTTCTTCTTCGCATTATTTTCCCATCAATTGTGACACCCTTACTACCCCAACATGTGACACCCTCTACCCCGCATATCATAACTCAATAAA